GAACAACCTTACTCATCTCCTACACATAAATTCTATCCTACTCGGTAGTGCCTTCTCCGATATAAAGCTTAAAGATAAATAAAATTTAAAGAATTTGTCCTTTTGAGAATGGCGCAATTTCATTCCACCCAGCAATGGCAACCAAAAACATATTTACATCGTACCTTAATAAGTTCAGCCCGTCTTTGTGGATCAACACTAGATACCCCAAAAATCATTTTCTCAGCAGAAACATCCATTTGTATTGGAACCTCGAACCCAGCAAAAGCAACTTCGCGTCTCCACTACAAAACGAAAATACCTTGTCATGGTCTCCCCTGATTGAAAAATTCAATCGATTTTCATTTCAGATTTATTCGCCACAATCCAATAAAAATAAAATTCACATGAAATTTTTTGTTGTTTTCTCTGGAGAAATGAACAAGCTTACAAGAATAAATGAGAGAAATTGGAATTATCAACTGCTTCAAGATTTCAGGATTAGCACATCATAAGTTTGGACCAAAAGCTGTTTTGCTGAAAACTTCTAAAAATCTGAAAAAGTTCCGCATTGCCGAACTCATCCCAAGACAAATACAAATTCACATGAAATCAAATTTATGGAAGATCGAAATTTGTGAGTTATTAAGTTATAAAAAATAATCTTCTCTGCAAATGATGGTTGCTCCATGAAACTTACGGAGCTCAAATTCAGCAATGACTAAACCATGAAGCAAGATGCCTTTCAGCAGAATGCAATTATTATCTTGCCTAAAGTTGACCGACTACTAATTAATGTTACATAATAATTATAATTATCAATAATTTTGTAAGGAGCCTGCTTCATTCCATTGTGGATAATTAATATTTTTCCTACTTGAAAAAGTAAACATTTTTGAGTAACCTTTTTGCAGCATTAATTATTAGAAACAAACTATGCGAGGCACCGGGACTGACAAACTATAATTCTAATGTTTCCATTGTAACTTGGGCGTCAATGCGCCAAAATAGCCTCTCTGCATAGTGAGGTAAGGCTGGACTGACCCTCCCCAGTTTGCAAGTGTCACCTAGCTAGTATATTATATAATTCTTGTAAAAGCAGTAGACCGCCAGAGAAACTAAGTTGTATATACTTAATATTTATATTAACTAATAGTTTTTGAATCGCTCAACATTATTAGTTGCTGGAGAGAGCCAACAGTATACAAGGAATGCAATAATGAATTAAGAACAAAACCATCCACACTCACTTTAGTTAGGTTTTAATTCAATGACACTTTCTTCCGATTCTAAAACTTCAGGGCACGCTTCTGGTTTATAATTCATCCATACCTCCTCTAATTAGGTCTAAATTCAATGACACCTCCTTCTGATTTATATTTTCAAATCAAAGACTCTTAATGGTAATTTTTAACTTTGTCAGTACAAAAAGTAACGATTTGACTATAAATTTTTAAAAATGTCATAATTACATTCCTTATGTAAATATACTAAAATGCCTTCAATCCTATTCCCACTATATATAACATACCCTTTGTTGTTACTAAAGGTAAAAAAACGATATGGTATTGTCGGAAGACATAGGGGTCTAAATTCAGTCAATCTTCTTCAATTCGTTTTCCACAGTAATCGATCACTACTTAAGTTGGCAAATTAAAAAAATATTTTTTTCTTGCAGATTTGTAAATATTTTTCGTGCAAATTTTTTAAAATTTTTTCATGTAGTTTTTTATTTTTTATTTTTTTCATGCAAATATTTTTAACTTTTTCATGCAATTTTTTAAATTTTTAATTTTTTTCATAGAAATTTTTTTAAAATTTTTTCATGTAGTTTTTTTTTTATTTTTGTCATGTAGATATTTTTTATTTTTGTCTTGTAGAGATTTTTAATTTTTTCATGCAAATTTTTTTTTTTTAATTTTGTTCATGCACATTTTTTTAATTTTTTTTTCCCATTTTGTTTTATCAATATGTTGTGATATATTCATAGTTGTTAGTATCGTACAATACACGATACGTCACGATACACTTAAAAAACGATATGTAACGTGTCTCTGTATCGTTTTTGCACTGTATCGTACAATACACGATACAATATGTACAATACGCCCAATACGTACAATATGTGACAATTCTATTTTTTTATTTTATTTTTTGTTTTTTGGGATTGAAATGACCCTAAGACTTATTTTTAAATCACTAACTAGTGAAACAACGTCGTTTCAGTGGTTATAGTATAAAAAAAAATAAATAAAGTTTAATGTTAATGTTGTTCAATTGAATTCAAAAATTCTAATTAATATTAAAATTGTTCATACAGTTGATGTTAGAAGTTTGAATTAGAGGTCTTTGCATTTTGATATTCCTGAACTATGTTAGAAATTTGAATAGTTGGTGAAATATTAATAAAATACTATGTGATTATAAATCTATGACTTTTTTATAAAGGTATATACATATATTTTATTAATAATTATTTAAAAATTAAAATTGCGAGTATCTTACGATAAACGATATATGATACGATATATTATTTTTAAAAAACGATACGCCATCCGATACACGATTTAACAACTATGGATCCATTATTGTAGGATTGATGTCTTCTTCAACAGTTGGCAGAGGTAGAGACAAAAGGTGTGTTTGGGTAATAGGGTGGGATAGGGTAGGTTTTTTTTTTTTTTATATCCTAACCAATCCAAGTCAAATCCACTCATCCACTTTAAAACCCTAACCCAAGATTATATCCAATCCTAACATTTGTTTGAAAAATAAATGTATAATTTAGTGGGCCCCATAGATTACATAAATAATTTTGTAGTAGTTTACCATTCTACCCATGACTCTATCCATTCCAATCCAAACCAATCATATCCTATGTTTGGTTAACCCGTCCAAGCCTAATAAAATTATACATTTTCCACATATACATAAAAACAAATAAAAATAAGGAAAGTTAAATATATATATATTTGTATTTTTTTTTCAAACAAATCACCACTTTATTTCATTTCTTAAAAATTGATTACAATGGGAGAAAGGTAAACAACCTTGCCTTAATATGTTTCAACCGGTGGATTATTCTAATAAAATTATACATTTTCACATATACTTAAAAACATATAAAAATTATATATGATTTAGACCCCTTGTTTAATTTTTTAGTTTTATTTCAATAAATAGTATAATTATATACTAATTACGATTTTTTAAGAAAAAATTAAATTTTTATTTTTAATTTTATTTCAATAAATAATACAATAGAATATGAATTTTGATTGTAAAATAATACTTGATATTCTATCTTTGATTGAAGTATTTTTTGTCTAAATATAATATTTTAAATTTAAAGGGTCTGAGTATTATATACTTACTACAAACTTCAAAGGGATTTAAGTGTAATTTATTAACGAATATATTAATCTTGAGGGGTCTAAGTATTACACGCGTATAAATTTGAAGGAATTTGTATTTAATATTTTAAATATTAGGGATTTGAATAATTCAATGACAAATTGCAGGAGAACTAAGTGTAATTCTCCCTAAATAAATCTCTCAAACCCAGAAGCCATATCCATTCGTCTGTCATTGATGTCTATAACTCCCATATACATCCCACCACCACCGCCACCAGAACTCACCTCCCCATCTCTCCCACCACCTCCACCAACACCTCCACTCCCATCTTTCTCCCCTGCAACAGAAACACCACCACTACCACCACAATAAAAACACCCACCACCACCACAATAAAACACCCACCACCACCACCACAATAAAACACCCACCACCACAATGAAAACACCCACCGCCACCACTACCTCCCACCACAATAATTCAATGTTTCCTTCAATTCCAGATCATACATGAAATCCCAAACAAGGGTTTCGTTCGACTAAGAGCCCTACCCAAACGTACTCAGATCTGAGCCTTGAGCTTTGCCTCCAATGGAACACACTCTGATTGACAGGAGAAGAGAGAGGGCAAGAGAGGAGGGGCAAAGATGTCTTGGATGGTGTTATCCTCTTGCCTGGGTTTGTAACCCATGGGAGGGGTGGGTTAAGTGTAGCCGGTGTAAGAGGGTTAAGTGGAACTGTAAAAACCAGGTCAAGCCTTGACCCGGGATTTGTATCCAATCTCAAAAAAGCTTCCCAAACAAAGGTTATCTAGGCCCTCACACCTATTTTATCCCATCCAACTAGTGGATAACCACCTTTAACCCACTATTCAAACACCACCATAGGGAAGGAGGAGTTTGACATATGCGTGGTGTCTATCATTATATTGTCCAAATAAATTTTTATCATTTTAAGGCGTTGCATGATAAATTTTTTATAATATCAGTAATTATATCATCACTCATTTGGTTACATAATCGAGTTTTTATAATTTTTATAGTTAAAAGTAAATTTTCTATAATAAAAAAATTACAATCGATAAATTTTATGTCAAAATCTCATCCATTTCTAACTCCTTTGCTATTATCTGTCCTCCACAACGTCACCTAATCACTCTTCACACATCATCCTTCATATATTAAATTTAATAATAATTGAATAAATTTGGTTTTAATTTGATAACTTTAAAAATTAATTTGATATTTATATTCAATGTTGACTTGATAAAATTTAATATTAATTGAATACATCTAAATATTGCTTTAATGAAATTGAATGTTCATTTAGTGTTAAACTAAATAACTGACATTAATTTGATAAGGTTAAATATTAAATTAATAGAATTTAATATATTAAATTTTAATTTAAAAAATTAAATGTCAATTTGGTGTTGATTTGATGAAATTAAATAATAATTTAATGTTAATTAAAGAAATAATATTAATTTGATGAAATAAAATATTAAAGTAATATAACTAAATGCTAATTTGATAAAATTAAATATCAATTTGTGGTGATTTGATGAGATAAAATGTTAATTTAGTTTAAATTAAATATTACATTGATGAACCTAAAAGTTAATATAATAGAACTAAAAGGATATGCATTGAAATTTTAGAATTGAGATGGAATATTATTAAAGACAGGTTTATTTATGGGAGTGTCGTTGAAATTATGTCTACATATTTATATATTTATAAGGGATGTGAATAAAATTTACCATATGATATTTCTATAAATTAATCCGACAAACACACTGACCAGTGACAGTAAAGTTTCACCGGTGTCACTGACCGGTGACAGCGAAAATTTCAGAATCAGGATGGGGGTGCAACTGAATTTAGACCTAATTACCGGGGTGTGAATAAAAGTTTCCCACCAAACAAACAAACCTCTCCTCCGAGATAGCATAGATCACCGGAAGATGTCAGAGCCGTGTCGTGAAAGGCCGATCTCCCAAGCACGCGGACCATGTCGGGCTCCACCATATGCTTCCCTCCCAAAATCTTCAGAATTGTTGTTTTCCCTATCACACACCGTCAATGACGAGATGAGATTTCAACTATGGCTTGTTTGGTTGCCAAGAAAACTGCACGCAACAGAAAAATAAATGTTGAGCGAGAGAAATGATGAGGGATCAGGGGGATGTACCGGCACCGTTAGATCCAACGAGAAGGCAGCGATCGGTGGTGTTGAGAGTCAGAGAGAAATCGTCGATAAGAGGGGAGGACCCAGGTGGAGGGTGGCCATCGATTCCTGGGTATGTGAACTTCAGCTTGTTGATTTCAATCGTTGGGTTCAATTTCAACTTCATCGCCATGTTCGGTAATAGAAGATTGAAGTGTGTGTGTGTGTGTGTGTGAGAGAGAGAGAGAGAGAGAGAGAGACGGGGGTTGTTGGGTTTGGTGGTTTGATGTGTGGGGGTGCGAACTGAGCTGAAGAGGCGTGGCCTGTTACCAGCCGCTACTCAGAGAGGTGCTATATGGTGTGACAGGATACAGGATTGGGAGCCAGATGACCCAATGAATAAGAGCTAACAAAAATACCGTTTGATCTGCATTATGGGCATAAATGCTCAACCGATTTAGTGCTTATAACGTGTCGTAGATATATTAGTGAGCATGGATTTGAAGGTGTGGTGACCGACACATGCAACATGGATGCTCTATGCAGATCGCCCAACTATCTCCATTGCCACATTGGCTGGGTGTATAAAAATAGGATTTTTTTTGGAAGTCAGGTATAATTTTTATAACTTATTTAATTTTAAATATAACTTTTACAAATATATGATAAAAAGTACATTTTAAACATTATTGAAAAAATCAGATAAATAAACTAATTAATTTGAAAACTAAAACTTTTAAATTTTAGAATTTTTTTTGTATTAGAACTCTTTCTCTTTCTCTCTTTTTATATCTCATATCTATAAAATAAAGTAGAATTGAGTTTGAATTTTGAAGATAAAAAGAGGTTCAGATCATTTTAAAACAAAATATAAATATATCCAACGGACAATGTAATTCTAATATAAAAGATGGTTCAAATCATCTCATAAATACTGATCCGACGATTTACAGTGAGTACTGAATTTTGTTTTCCCGTCCAACATTTCCTAACTCACGGCTCTCTCTCCCAATCTCTTACGCCTCTCTCTCTCTCCCATTCTTTCACGCCTCTATCTCAGTCTTTCGAACTTATCCCCAAAATCTCTCTCGTGTAATTTATCTCAATCTCACTTTCTACCTCTCTCTTTCTGTATTCGATTTTTTCTCTCTCTATATTTGATATTCATTCTCTCTCTGTTTCTTTAGTTTTTTATTTGGGCAATTTAGAAGCCTGTATAATTTTTTAGACTTATTTAAGTAAAAGTATAACTCAAAAACTTATTTTTGGTAAAGTACATATTTTTTTCAAATACCACTATTGTCATTGGTAAACAGTAAAATATAAGGAAACCCATTATCTTCAATCCGTTTTTTTGGCTAAAATCAAGCAGGAGGTAAAATAAAGAGGTTTAATTATCAAACTCATCTTCTTCGGAAGAACTGTGACTATTTATCTTCCCAAAAAAAGAGGAACCCGAGTTACTGTACATCGTTCAAAAAAAAGAGGAATACGAGTTACTAGTCATCGTAAAAAAAAAAAAAAGGAGGAATCTGAGTTACTGTTCATCGTCAAAAAAAAAAAAAAGAATACGACTTACTGTTCATCGTATCCTACGGTCAAGTAACTATGAATCATCTTTGACAACTTTTTCACCAGAAATTGCAGGTGACATTCATTTTTGATTTTTTGTCATTCATTAATTTTTTTTTTCTCACAATCTGTGTTGTTTGATTTTTTGATTAAAAATAGTTACGTAACTGTTTTAAGTAACTATTTGTGATCACAAATTGTAAACTATTAATATTCAAAAATTAATGGTTGAAACTGTATTGACACAGTTACACCCATTAAAACAAAATCAGTTTTTTTCCTCTTCATTCAAATATCGAGCAAACATAAAACAAATTGAACATAAGAATTTTCCAAAAAAAATGACCGGATAAAAGAAGAAATATACTTATTATGTCTATACGAAAAAATAATTACATCCATTAAAAACAGTTACACCCATTAAAACGAACAAACATAAAACAAAATCGAACATAATCATTTCCANTCGTCAAAAAAAAAAAAAAAAATACGACTTACTGTTCATCGTATCCTACGGTCAAGTAACTATGAATCATCTTTGACAACTTTTTCACCAGAAATTGCAGGTGACCGAATAAAAGAAGAAATATACTTATATGTCTATAAGAAAAAATAGTTACACCCATTAAAATCAAATGCAGTTTTGTTGCCAATCATTCCAACAACGAACAAACATAAAACAAAATCGAATATAGGAATTTTTCAAAAAAAATGAAAAAATAAAAGAAGAAATATAATTATTAACAACTAATCTTTAAGCCAATGACGGTGATTGGTATTTGCAGTTCCTTTTTTCAAATAAATCCATCACCGGAGAAGTAAATCGACCGTTGAATAAGACTCTCATTGCCTAGATCAGATGAACATAGACGTTGAAGAAGACTCATACTGCAAAGATCAGGTTTTTTTTTTGAACAAACTGCAGAGACGTTTAAATACTTTTTGTGTTACTGCATAAAATTTTTTTCTTTACAGAGATCAGTTGAACACAAACTTTTACTGCATACAAAACTGCTTATTCAAAATTCAAAAATTAAAGATAACAAATATGTAATCTTTACATATTTGTTTCCTCAAATAACTATCAATGATGACTGCATAAATTAAGGAAATGGTGTTTAAGTAAAAAGGATTTTAATTCATTTGAATTTTGTACCTAAATACAAAAATTTTTATAAAAATTGTACTTAATAGAATAAACAACTTATACATACACTTTTGCTTAAATAAGTCTAAAAAATTGTACCCACACCTAAAAAACCCTTTTGTTTTTCTCTACCCAATTGAAAAGCCCCCCTTAAAAACCCAACCCAGAAACCCCTTTTCCTTTCCCATTTCTCTGTATGATCAGTAAAAAAACAAAAATCCAAAACAATCGCAACACCCACATCTCCCCCCTATATCTCTCATGGCTCCCAATCTCTCCCTCCCTCATTGCAGCGCCTATGCCACATAGCCCAGCCCAACCCCCCAGCGAATCAGAAGCCCCACCAACTATCACAAAACCATCGACCACCACTAGCGACAGCCGCGACAGCGAAATTAACGATCACCACTGTCGCTGACGATCGCCAGCAACTGCCACGCCAGTGACACCCCAGGTAATTCTTTCTCGCTCACTATTTGATCATCTCCTTGCTTCTCTATCTCACACTCGCCTCTACACCCGATCATATCCACAACCCCTTTCCCCCTCTTCTTCCTTCCCATAGCCCCAAACTCCACATAACCCTAATCTACCAACAACTGACACAACACCTCACCACCATCTTACCCAAAATTGATACAAACACAGATTTACAGCTCACAAATTGCACACTCACACTCATAGACAACCGTAAATATACAAATTTTCACATTAATTTCTATCCGATTTTTATTGATTGGTTGAAACTTGAAATGGATTTCTATCAAGTTTAATTTGAGGTTTTTGTTTTATATTTATTGTGCCTTTAGGTTTGCACACACAAAAAGAGAAGGAGAGTGTAAGATAGCTCAGTGGCTATGTAAGTTCTTCAAATTTTTTTAATTTTCAGATCTATTTTTTTGCAATTTTGGTTTATTAATTTTGTTTGTTTTCGATTTTTGTTTTCCAAGGTTAAATTGTGATCATAGAGTAACCAAGTGAAGGGGCTAGATCATTGTATCAAATTGTTTTAGTTTAGTATAATTTTTAGCATAACACGTGTTTAATGAAAATGTCTCAATGATTGATTTTGATCCTTGCAAGTCTTCACAATGGTGTGATCTAGAAGTTTTGCAAGTCTCAATGACTATCTTTTCAGTAAACATTTCATGTTTAGTGAAATGTCTCAATGACTATCTTTTCATGAAGTTTTGCAAGTCTTTACAATGGTGTTTATGCTGCTTCTGCATTTTACTTAATATTCACTCTTATTGTACTTTATTATTCCTTTCAGGAATGTATTGGTAGAGCAGTTATTTACTTATCTCTGTTTATTGAAGATTATGACCAGACCAACGACCAGTTAGCGACCTCTTCCTCCCCAACTTCGTCCTCAACCCGCTAGCAATGACATATGAGAGGTGACCTCCTAGGATATATAAAGTCAAATCTAGGATATATTTTTAGCTTTAGTTTATGATGCATTTTCAGCTTTCATGTATGATATACATTTTGCTTTGATTTAGAAGATGTATTCAACTTTAGGACTGAAATGAAACATGAATGTCAAATAGGTGCATTTAGTGTATGACTACTTTGAATGGGAGATTGAACATCGATGAATGTAGTTACTTGTTGATTTTCTTAGCCATGAATTGGTTCCTTTCTGAATATTTGATAAGTGGTGCACTTTGGGATCATACTCTTTTTCTTTGGCTTAAAATAATGTTGACTTTTTAATTGATGAAATTTCCAGGATCATCAATTGCAAATGTACACTATTTGATAGAGTAGTATTCTATTCCCATATATATTTTTCAGCTATAACTTTGATTTACTATTGTAGCTTTAACATTGCTTTGTTTTCACAATGCTTATGGTATTTTTTTTTCTCTACAGTTGAATAATATCTTTGATACTATTAACATATATTTTTTTAATTATATATTACTTATTGGCCGAAAAAATTGACAATTAACTTTTAAGTTGATTTGAATTTTTTTTTTCAGGAAACTTTTGCCAAAATCAAATGAAATGGGATTCATTTCAGCATAGTGTGAGTAATAAAGTGCAAAGGTAAAAACATTTGTATAGAATTAAAATACATTGTTTTGCCGAATTGCTAATTCGACCAACATGTTCTATTGGAAAAACTTTCATGAATGAAAATTAGGAGGTTTGTGTATATTTTTGCCATTCTATTGTTTGACGTTGCAATTTTTGTTTCTTTTTTTTTTTTTTATCAATTTATTTATTTGTAGTCGTGCATGCTTCACTAATTTGTATACACCTAGCTTTGTGTAGTTCATTCAGGAGTTTCAATTACTAATTTAAGGAGTTTTTGGTTTTTATTTGGTTGCTTAGTTGCCACTATGACTACTTTAAATCAAACTTAATGGGTTTTATAGTTATTCAAGAGTAAGAATTGATGTTTAATCAAGCCTAGAATTTTTTGTTGTTCCAAGGAGGAAATGATGTTGCATTACTATAAATAATTCTCCTCCATGTAATATTATAAGATGAAATGTGTATGTGTGATGATCATGAGTATTGAGTTATTATGTGAAGATTTAATAGGGTTGAAAATATTGACGTGATAGTCAATTATGGTTATTTAAGTTTAGCTAAATTAGTATTTGTGGGTTCTATGATTACTTTTTTGGTTACTAAATTTTTTTTCCCATTTGCTAATTTTTGTGAGTTTGATTTTTTATTTGGGTGATTTTGTTGTGTCACATAGTGTCTTCAGGCACGGGCATTAGCTAGTATATACATATATCCTCAGCATCCTCATGGATAATTGGCATTTTTCTAATGCCATAAGTCATTGTTTTATTATTTTTATTTCAACTTTAAGTTAATTAATTTCTTTTTTAAGGTCTTGCAATGAAGATTCATTTTCTTTAATTACCATACTCTAGGATCTATTAAGGACCTCTTTTAAAGAATAGGGTTGAGGCATAAAATTTATTCTCTTCTGAAGTTATTTCTAAATATTGTTCAATAACTTTTCTCTTATTTACTGAATTATGAAATTGATCTATAAGATCAAAGATTAATGTTTGTGACTTAGTTAAAGTATTTATGCTTAATCCATTCATGTCTAAAATAGTTTTATAATAATTAGTCTATGCTATACAATGTGATGAACAAGCTTTATCTTGTTCTGATTGATTTTCGTCTGATGTTGAATTTTTATTTCGTTAATATTACATAGTTCTTCACCTTCAAAAAATGAATTATCATAAGACTCTCCTTCTTCACTTTCTATATTTAGAACTATCTTTAGAATCTTATCTTTAAGATCTTCATCGAGTATTAATTCATTTAGTTTTTATTTAGATAGACATTTAGGAGCGATATGTCTTGATTTTTCACACTTAAAACATTTAATATGCTCTTTACCCTTTGCTTTAAGTCTTTTAGTGGGTTTATTATTTTTATCCTTTTTCATAATTCATTTTATGGAATTTTCTCCTTTTCTTATATAGTTTAGAATAAGTTTTTATTTTAGTTGAAGATTTATCTTTTGGGATATAAAAATTATAAGCAAATTGATTACAAAATTTTCTTAGCTCTTTTCGATCAGTTAATCTTTATCTTTTAAGTTGAGCTTTGAGATTTAAATTATTACAGAGAGCTAATCCTTCCGAAATACATTCATTAATTCTTTGTAAGTGTAGTTTTCATAAAGGATTTTAAATCCTCCATGTCTTTGTTTTAAACGAATTCTTATTTTTTCAGCAAATAAGTTGGGTAATCCTGATATGAATTTTTTCTTTCCAAAATTTATTATTAACGTATGTTCTTAATAATACTTTTGCCAAAAATACATCTTTATACCACCTAAAATGTGTTAAGGTAGGGCATCTTAAGTAATATTGGTATCAGAGCCAAGTAATGGTAGCTTAAAGCTATTCTGTTGATTAATATGCAGATCTATTACTAATTCTTATTATTTATGTAATTTAATTATGTTATACTAATGTCACTTTGAATGTGCTATATTAATTTTGTTATAATGATTTTATTTTGTTCCTATAGTTCTGCACCCAAGTCACGTGTGAGATGTTTGGCTGTGTCTGAGAGATAGGAGTGAGGTCGTTTTGGTTCCCCATAAATTGTTGACAGCAAGAGTAGGAAAGAGGAAGAAGATCACTGTAACAAAAATATTATAGCAAAAGTCATGTAGCATTACTGTAGCAGAATTAAAAGATGAATTATTGTAGCAACTTGAAGGCAATAGTAAAACATATAGGTCAACAAAATTTTTTTGAAAAATAAATATGACATTAAGCCTATTTAGATTAAGTAATAAACATAAAGAATATTATGTTAAAAATATGAAAGAAATTTAATATTTAGATATTTAAAATAAGTTACGAAAATAAGTTATAAAACTGGGATATACCTTAATATCCAACTAGCAAAATATATAATATTGGAACTTTTGAATTTAAATCAAGTTCTACAATTAAAACATTAGAAAAAACAATTCCCTTTAATCAAAATGGGGCTACTTTACAACTCTTAATAGAGAGAGAAGTCTTAAAGGCACAAGAAAATTATAAATTTTTACATATTAGATTAGTTCAAGTGGCTTTAAAACTATTAACTCTTCAAGGATTAAATTCATCTTTTATGCTAGTCTTAAGAGATGCTAGATGTTTAGATTTTGATCAATCCATAATGGGAGTTATGCAATCTAGTTTAAGTACTAGTTCAGTTTATTTTAACTGCTTTTTCAAATTTATCAGTATCTTTAACAAATAGAAATATATTGGATGTCTTAACATGTAATATTAAAACTTACGAATATAATTTTAAGGAAGGAACATAAATAATGACTTTTACCTATAGAGTATACTATAAAATAATGAATACTCTATCTCTAGAAGGTAAGTTTCATAACCTTAAAGGTCAAACAACTTTAATTGAAATAAATATGATCAAAAATAAAATTGAAATTCCTAGAATCATTAAATGGTCAGAAATCAAGTTTTCATAAACATGACAATTGGAATCTGTGGTTCCTAAGAAATCAGAAGTAAATCAAGATATAACACAGATCGCTCAATCTTCCTAGGGTGATGTAATGATAAGATTTTCTAGAGATAATTTTTTTGGATTAAAAATCTCCAATAAATCGAGAACTTTGTAAGTATATAATACTCCTAGTAGGATATCAATTTCTTCTATTCCAGATAGAAAAAGGGAAAAAGAATTTATAATCGAGGGAATCCACACCTCACGTAATCAGATTCCACATGGAATCTATAGACAAGATAATGAATCTTCCTTAGAGGAAGATCAAGAACCAACAGTATTCGAAATCGGATTTCAACTATAAATTTTAATGAATTTAAACCCAAAAGAATTTTTAGTGAATAAGAAATAAATAAATAAATAAATAATTTTATCTCTCTAAATATGAGGTATATAGAACTTGGTATTTATGAATCAAGAAGATCTTAAAAGATATAAAGAAATGTTTTAACGTTATATAGAAGGGAAAAAAGAATAATTTCATTCGTTAAGTGGTTTTTAACCTTCTATGCTCCACATACAGTTGATCAATTAAATGTAATTGAAAAATTCTAACATA